CATCAGCACGGTTGCAACATGCACCCTGCAGCATATGGACAGGGCTTGCTCTGCAAACACACAAGCCTCATCAGATTCTCCCAAGGGCACATCCCCAGCGCGGGAATGAGCCCAGAAGCCAGGATGACAGCCACCCTTCCTTCTCCTGCTGCCTCCCCGGGCTGCAGCACGGAGCAGGCCCTTTCTCCCTGCAGACATCGTGGCTGAGCTCTGCTGCAAGCACACGCCAGCGAAAGGGGCTGGCGGCCGCTGGCAGCCGCTCCCAGCGATTCCACCCTGCAGCTTGTGGCTGGGCTTTAGATCTGCTAAGCCTGCTTCAAACTTTGCACTGGGAGAAGTGATTTGTCTGCAAATGTTATGTGGTTAAAATAAATGCAGAGAATTTTAATCCTGGGAATTTGGAAAGTAGGAGATTTAAAATAACAAAACCCTTTCATATGGCACTTAATCCAAAATTAGCTGGGTTTTAAGTTTTACAGCAGTAGCTGATCATTCCTCGGCCACCTCCTGCTCGGCGTGGGAAGGGGGGGCTCCCCAGATTCCCGGGGCAGGGGCAGAGGGGGCTGCAGGATGGGCTCTCCAGGCCCTGTGAGCCTCGCAGTGCCAGGGCGGTGCCGGGGTAGTGACGGCACTCTTTTTTTTGTTGACGTGGAATGGATCTCCCACAGCTACTTAAGGTTTTAATTGCCCTGTGATTAAAGTTTTCATTACTAAGCAATTAGCACCTGAAATTTTAAGTGCTGAAGTGTTTAACTGCATCCTGAAGCTGCCAGAGGTGAGGGGTGGTGGATGTGGGTGGGATGGGAGAAGGTTTTGAAGTAGGGACCACGAGCAGCAGATGGTGGCTTCCTTGCTGGGCCCAGCCGGGCTGGCACGGGTGCTGCCGGCACCCCGACCCGCTGGCAGCGCCAAACTCCTGGCAGCACAGGGAGGAGCTCCCGGAGGGGCAAGCACCCAGGAAGCCTGGGAAGGAGACAGGCTGGAGCCAGCGCTGGTCTGGCGGGGAGCACACCGGCTGGGCGAGCTGGCACCCGGCAGAGCTCCCTGCCCTGAGAACGGGGACCCATGGGGCTCCTCTTGCACTGGGGGTGGCACAAGGGGACCCCCAGCAGCCGCATGGCTGACCCAGGTGCCTGCTCAGATGTCGCCCCTCCAGTACAGCCCTCTGGACAAAGGACGTGCAGATGTCACTGATGCCGTGATGGCCCTTGCTACAATGGGATCCGGCCCAGAAACGTGGGGAAATCCCCACCCAGCTTCCCCCATCCCCAGCACAGCTGTGCTCCAGGTGAGCACACAACGGAGGCCTCTTGCAGGGCTTTTTCTTGCATTCATGCAGTTCCACCCTTTAAACACACGTCCCCATACTTACCTTGTGGCAATGAACCCCTGGGACCGGCTGCTTCGTGAGGAATATACTCCCTTCTGTTTGTTTTTAGACTGTTGCCGGGTAATTTCATTTGATGCTCCTTAGATCTTTTGAGAAAACAGGAATAATTGTTCCCTAATCAACTTTCCAGTGGAACTGCACTGAGGTTGCGGCATGCAGAGGAGGTGAGGGGCGGTAGCTCAGGGGCAGGGTGCGTGGGTGCCCCGTGTGCGGGGCCGTGTCTGGCACACACCCACACCGTGCGTGTGCCCGTGTGACGCGGACCCGGCACCGGGGCACGGCTGGGCTGTGTTTGGAAACGGGCAGTGAGAGTCAGGCTCGCTCCAGCAGGATGGAGATGAAATTCCTCTGGGTGAGGAATTTCTTAGGGAGAGAAGGCTGGGCTGGGAGGTTTGTCCTCTGAACCTTCCATGGCCGTTGCTGCTTTTCGAGGTTTTGCTTTCATGTCTGCCACTCCCTGTCTGCACAGGAATGCCTCCCAGGGACACCGTGGGCACGGCCGTGCAGGCCGGGGGCTGCTCTAAGGCAGAGCATCACTAACTCAGGTCGGTGCTGCACACAAACTCCCCTGCCTATCCCACAGCCTCACGTTTCATCTCTCGGCCCGTTCCTGTCCACGTCTTGCCAACCCTGTGCTCATTGCATCCCTATCCAGCTCCAGCCGTCAGCTCAAGGTGCCAGGGAGAGGATCAGGGCTGAGCGTATGCACAGGGACATTGTGTGGTTGGGATCTATCCGTGTTTACACAGATATGCCTCTCCCAGCCACGCCATCACCCCGTCCCTCGGGGGCCACAGCAGCGCCATCCCCAGCCCCAGTCCGTGCCCGAGCAGGCGGGCTGGCACCGAGCACCCAGCCCCTGCCAGCAAATACCACGCAGTTACCACAGCTATTTGGTATTGTGCAGGCTGCGGAGCCCTGCCAGCGCTGCTCCCCGGGCTGCCCACCAGCTGCAGCGCACAGGCGGCCACCAGGGCTCCCTGCCCGGCGAGCTGCCCTGAAATCCCCACCCCGCAGGCACCAGGGAGCCGGAGGCCCCGGGGAGCGGCCGGCTGGCAGCACCAGCCTGGAGGGAGCGATCGGGGCTCATTAATTACAGCACGTGGGGAGCGACGCGATTGTATGGAGCATCCTCCCCCAGCCCGCGCACCCCCGCTGCCTGCTCCAATTTCTCATCCTATTCTGAAATAAATTCCTTTCGGGCTGAAATTTGCCAGGCATGGCTTGGCTCCAAGGGGAATTCTTGGAGAAAGTTTAAGTAAAATTGGTTCAGCCATTTTTGAGTTATTCAAGTGTGAATAAGCAATTTCCCCATGTGCTCCGTTCAGAAATTTTGTGCTTGGGTAACTCAGACCTCTGGAATTGCAGAATAAACGAGGTTTCTGCATCTCACTAAGCCGGCAGGGAGGGGATTTCCCGAGAGTGACTTCACAGGGAGACAGCAAATCTTCCCACCCTGAGCCAGGCCTTTGGTTAAGATTCTCAGCATCTCCATCAGCCTCTAGCCCTCTCCTTCCCCACTGATGCTGAATTATACCCCCATGCATGTGTTAATGATGCCAGCTTCATCACTCGCTTCTCTGCTGCTTATCCCCTTGAGTGACAGCATGTGCAAACCAACAACTTCTGCTTCTTTGCTCAAACTTTGGCCTTTTCCACGAGTGCAATCCCCTTACTGGTGCTTTGATTACCTGGAGAGAGCAATGCCCCACTTGCTGCATCTCCTGTCCCTCACAGAGATTTATCACAGTCCTATGTCCTGTCTTTAACCAGCACTCCAGCTCTCTTGGGCATGACTTTTCCTTCAGGAACCATGCCCAGTGGTGCTGGGGCACTGTGGCAATCCCCAGGACACAGCATTCCGGTGAGACTCCCTGCAGCTCTCAGAGGATGCCAGCATTCCTGCAGTAGGAGTCAGTCATCTCCAAATTTTCAGCTGCCCAGGCAGAGCTCAGGTCTGTGCCAGCCTCTCTGGCCAGGACTTGGGAAGCCAAATCCTTCCAGGACATGGAAGGAAAATGCCCATCCACAGCCCTGGTGGGAGTGTGCAGCAGAAGGCGGAGGGGATATGGAAGCGCTCTGTGTCTGTCCTCACAGAGGAGAGGTCAGCCACAGCCAGCCCTGATAACCTCCCAGATTCCTGCTCCTGCCAGCAGCCACGGGGAGCGTGGCCAGGATTGTGGTCCTGCAGCCTCCCCGCTGCACCAGCATGGGGCCAGGGCTGGGGCTGCACGGCAAGGGAGTTTCTGGGGCAGGTTTCTGGGGCAGGAGCACTGTGGGGAGGTGCCACTTGCAGATGGCAGGTGTCTGCAGGGACAGCCCAGATGGCTCTGCCAGGGGCACAAGGCTGCCCAGGGAGAAGGAACCAGCCATGCACCCCACTGCCCCTGGACCTGCTGGAGCTCCAGCCACTCCCAGGGACCAGGGGCATCCGCATTCCCCAACATCAGGGGCTTGGGAGATTTTGCTAAACTCAAGTGAAGCCTCCCCAGGTATCTGAGGGGCAGATGCAGCACAGAGGGCCAGGACAGGTGGCAGCACATGTCCCACATCCATCATGGCAGATATGTCTGTCCTGAAGGATGTGCCAGCTCCAACCACCAGGACAGTGTATGTGGATACACCATCCCAAGGGAGCAGAGTTTATCCCAGACAGGGCCCCAAAACCTTCCCCTAGCAGAGTCAGGACAGAGGGGAAAGAGGACTGAGGCACCCACAGGCTTGTAAGCTGTGGCTGCATGCATGGTGACCAGCATCTTCTCCCACCAGGAATGTGATGGGCAAGGCACTTTGTGGGTAGGGGTCCTGGGAGAGGTCACTTCAGGGTGCTCTCTGCATGGTTTCAGCTTCACCAGGATCACAGCATTCATCCCTGTTTGGTTGGTGGGAGTCGTGGTGCAGATGAGGTAGGGAGGTGTATGATACAATGAGATGGAATGAGTGGAGCAGGATGGGATGTATGGGATGAGCTGAGGGAGAATGGGGTGAGATGGGTTGGCCAAGGGTGGGATGAGTGAGAGACGGAATGGGACAGTAGAGAATGGGATGGCAATGGGTGGCACAGCCAGGTAAACCAGGCTGCCAGTAGTGTGGCACAGAGGGGCTCACAGTCCCCTCATCACACACTCTACCAGGCTCACGCACTCACCCGCACCCGGAGGGGCGGGGGCCGGGGCGGCGAGGGCCGAGGCTGTGCGGGGCAGGCGGGAGCGCGGCCCCTTTAAGAGCCCAGTTCCGCGGGCGGCCGCTGGGTGGGGCGCGCTCCCCGCCCTGCGCCTGCCGCGCCAGGGGGCGGGGCCACGGGGGGCGCGCCGGCCAGTGCCCGCCCCCTCCGATTCATCTTTCCGCGGAGGCTCCGCCCCCCACCGCCGCACGGCCCAATCGGCGCCGCGCTCCCCGTCGCCAGGGGCGCCGCGTTGCCAGGGGCGGGGTGATTGGCGGGCGGGCCCCGCCCCGCTCGGCTCAGCAGCGGCGGCGGCGGCGGCGGCGCCAGAGCGCGAGCGTGGCGCGGCGGCGAGAGGAGCCGCGCGTGGCGCCGAGCTCGGGACTGCCCGGCGGGGCCGCCCGCACCGCCCCCGCTATGGCCGCGGCCCGCCCGGGGGCCCCCCCGCCGCCGCCGCCGCTGCTCCCCCTTCTGCTGCTCCTGCTGCTCCCCGCTGGCCGCCGCGCTCTGGAGGGTGAGTACCGGGCGGGCGTGCCCGTCCGCCGCACCGGGGCCCGAGCGACCGCGCACGGGTGCACGCATCCTCCGGGATGTCCCAGGCCCGTCGTGGCTCAGCGCGACTGGCCGTCGCGCCGCGGATGCCCGGTTGTACCCGCGGAGCGCTCGCCGCAGTCCTGCTCCCAGCGCTCAGCCGCCCTCAGTAGGTTTCAGAGTCAACGCCCCGTGGAACCGCGGCCGGCGGCTGCTGGCAGGGAGCGGCGCCTCTTTGGATACTCGGTTCACGTTTCGAGGCTTTTCGCCACGACCGAGAGGGCTGGAAAATTAATATTTCTTTCAGTGGAAGCTCTTGGCGTGCCAGAACTGGTGGGGCCGCGGAAGGAGTGTCCGTGTGCCGTGTCCGGCTCCATCCCTTCCCCGGCAGGGCTCGCCGCGCCCGCTGCCTTAACCCCCGAGGCTCCAGCGTGGGACCTCCGGGGCGAGTGGCCACGCGTGCCGCATCTACCCCCGAGCGGGTCTGCCCTCCGCGGCTCGCCCACCTTCGAGCTTCGATGGAGTTGGGAATAGAACGGGGAGTAATTCTCTCCCCCTTGGAAAGTGAGCCCCGGTCCGCGGGGCAGCGCCGCTGCGCCCGCAGCTTTGAGCGAGGAAAGAGGCTTTTGGCCCCCTGGGTACCGGGGGTTCCCGAGCGGGCAAGGCGGGTCGCACTGGAGAGAAGGAGGAGAAGGGGCCCCGGACGGGTTTTTGTCTCGGCACAAAGTGTGCGAGGCTCCAGCCGGAGTGCCGGGGCGGCGGCGTTCCGGTGTCCGGTAACCGAACCCTCTGCTGGAGCGGCGGGAGGGGGCCGGCGAGGGAGGGACGGAAGGGAAGGGAGATCCCCCATCGGAGCGGAGCTGTGGGTGCCGTGCCCGGGCAGGGGGCGGCGGGGCTGCTCGCAGGCGGAGTCGTGCTTCGGGCTCCCGCTGCCGTCGCCCCGCGTTGCGAGGTTCGGGCCGCGGCGCCGGGGGTGGCCGTGGGCAGGAGCCCTCCCCCGCTGCGGTGCCTGAGGGACGTCTTTCCTCTAGCTTTGGGCTTTGTAGAAAGTTTGGGGGCTGCTTGTTGTCCGCGTTCCTTTTCATCCTCGCTCCGTGCGATTGTTTTTGTTTTTTCTTTAAAAGGAAATTAAAAAAAATTAAAACCCCTCGTCCTTTGTAGGCTGTAGGAATCAGAGCTGTGGGCCTGCCGGGTCCGTGAGCTCCCGGCTCAGCGGGAACCCGCGGCAGGAGGGGAAGGCAGAAGCCCCCGGCACTCAGCCCTCGCGGGATGGGGAGCACCCGCCCGGGCATCCCTGCCTTCTGGAGAGGTGCCGGGGGATGAAGTTGTGGGCAGGGAGCCCGGCGGGGCCCCGCGCTTGCAGCTAGCCTCTCGCAACCTGCTTCCCATCAGCGGTTTAGGAATTTGGGAAGGATAGATGGCGTGGGGGCTGGCAGCACCGGTGTGTATCACCTGGGGACGGTCCCTCCTGCCTCTCCCCCGCTGCCGTCTGGGGATGGAGCAGTGCAACGAGACGGATGGAGAGAAAATAAACAGGCCCTGCTGAGGAGTCACTGGGTTTTTTCAGCTTCCCAAATGTGTGGAGAGGTCAGGGGCTGAACACACCGTCTGAGAGGTCAGGGCCCAGCTGGGTGCCAGCCCGGTGGGACCACTTCAGGGCTGGCTGGCAGCTGCCCAGCAGTTTTTGGGCTGGCCCCGATTCCCCGTGGGATTTTCTCCTTTTTTTTTTTTCCTTCGTCTTTTTTTTTTTTAATTATTTTTTTTTTCCCTTTGCTCTTGTTCGAGCTGGAGGGAAAGTTGCAGCTGGCCTGGAGAGGCTTCTCCCTCTGCAGCTTAGGGAAACCGCTGCTCGCATCAGGGTCAGCGAGCTCCCGCTCTTCTGCTACGTTTGGCATTTCTGTCCACGCTCACCGCTGCTTCCTGACGGGGACTGGCGCGTTCCAGAGGTTACTGTAAATCTCATGTGCACGTTTGTTTGGATATTTTAGTGCTGATCATAAATCTGGCGTGGCCATAAATCTGTATGCACGTCCTGCAGACAACAGCAGCGAGCAGTCCCCAGACCCGGCCACTTCACCGTCCCCTCCGAGGTGCAAAGGGCCGGGCTTGTGGCTGGTGTCGGGCTGGAAGGGCAGGGGGCTTTGGGGCTGGATGGCGCTCCCCATTCCCCAGGGGATGGCGGGGAGTTGGGTTTCTTTACAAGGCCCCACGGGGGTGGAGGAGAAAAGCCGCGCTCGGCAGCAGCTCAGTGAGGGCTTTGTGCTGCCGAGGAGAAAATGGTTTCTCTCCAGATCCTGTAAGTGCGCTGGGTCTGTTTGAAGTCACAATGTGTTTTTCTTCTCCGGTTCAGCAGTCCCCGGGCCGGCTGCAGAAGGAATGCTCTATCCAGGGGCAACAGCGGATCCTTTCTCCAGCACAGGGGTTTGAGCCGAGAAGTTTGTCCCAGCGGGGCTGTGGGAGCAGAGGCCCTGTGGGGAGCGGACGCGGTGGAACAGCACGGGGAATGTGCTGCGTTCCGGGCCCTTGCCGACCATCCAGGGCTAAAACCCCAGGCTTCAAAACACCCTGGCCCAAGGGAGCGTGGACAGCCACAGACTGGATCTGCCTGTCGCCCTGGGGGTGTGGGTAGGCTGGGACAGGGACCTGCTCTCCCTAGGAGCCACTCTCCCAGGCTGTTCCTGCTCTGAGCAGCCTCTCCGGATTCAGGACTCCATTTAAACTTGGAGTTTCCCACGTGCTTCCCTGTGAACTCCCATGCAGAAGCACTGTAGTTTGTTGCACGTAGTCCTGAGCAGACTTGGGCTCTAGTGAAATACCCAAACCCCACAAAGAAGCAAGATTTCTAGGGGGGATTTTCTTCAGCGGCTCTGCCCAGTGACACCCCCCAGACCCCCTGGGTGTCACACAGATTGACCACGCTCCTCTCTGCACCGGCAAACCCCTGCTTAATTGACCCCTTTGCTGGAGCTGCCTGGTATTTTCTTGGCAGAGAGATTTGCTTTCTGTTTAATTACTTTTCACAGAAATGGCATGTTTCTTGGTGGGGCAATGGGTGAAGTTGGCCCTGCTGTTTTATGGGTGCTCGGGGTAGGGCTGTGAGGGAAAGCGGATCGTGAGGCTCTGCAACACTCACTGGATTCATTAAATCTCCTGTTCCTCGGTAAAAGCTGCGCTCGAGGAAGCCTTCCCATCCGTGCTGCCAGGGAGGGGAGGAGAAGGGCTTTCCTTTGTGTCAGGCGGAGCATGCGGAGAGCTGGGGAGAGGGAAAACTTGGAGCACCGGGATCTGTTTGCAGCCCCACATTTCTCCCTCGGTGTACAGCGAGGCTGTGGCTGCCAGGCCATGCCTGCCCAGCCCTTGCAATTGGGAATAGCGGCCTCTGGTTTTTAAGGAATGAACCGAAACTCCTTGTTTTGTTATGATGACTTACTGCAAGAGATATTTGGGGAAACCAGTTTGTTGCATTTTCTTTCCGTGAGCCGTTTGCTGCTGCCGCTGGAGCAGAGGAGCTCGGCGTTTAATTAAAACAGCCCCAGCAATCTGAATCACAGACTTGCATGTTTTTAAAATTGTAGCTGTTCCTGTTGTGCTGAGTCAAACTGGTTTGTCGGGATTAAGCGTCTCCGCCTGGGAGCCGCGCTGGGGGAAGGGTGCTGGGGTGGCCCCGGGGTCGGAATCCCCATTCCCAGCTGGTGCAGACCACAGGGTGGGTGTCAGCCTCCCCCGGAGGAGAACCCTGGGAAAGGGGGACTCTACCCAAGGGCTGCGGTGGAGCTGGTGGTTGCCGTTGCCGCAAGCTTCTCAGTGGTTGAAACCATAATGAGCTGCTGTTGTTTCTGGGTCCAGCATGTTCCCATGAAGCGTTTGGGGGATGGTGGTGCCCCTCCATGGGCAAGAATCTCCTTGCAGAGCCCCATGCCCCAAGGGATTGGCTGCCATCTTGGAGGCCAGGCAGCCTGTTGCAGTGACACTCCCACCCAACTGGGACCATCCCATTTGAAGTCATGTTTTGTTTTTTTTATTGCATTTTTGTTGTTGTTGTTGCTCCAAACCCAGCCCTGTGCTCTGGCTGGGCGGTGCTGGCTGTGGGGCATGGGCTGTTCCCTCGCAGAGCTGAGCCTCAAGTGGGAGCCATTTTGTAGGAAAGGCCGGTGGGCATCCTGCCTGTGACGGGACAGGCTTGGCACTGTTGGTGAAGCCTCATCCTCCTGTGCCTGGGGAGTATTATCACCCACCCTCAGCATCGCCACGGAGCAGTCGTGGCACTGAGCTTGAGAGAGGGGCAACATCCCCTTTCTGGAGGGCCACATGCCTTTCCCACGCTGCCACTGCTCCCAGAGGGGCTGCATCCCTCCCCTGGTGCCCACTTTCTCCTTGGTGCAGCTCAGCCCTCCAGCCTGTGCTGCCTGAGCCGGGAGGTAGCGAGCCCAGTGCTGTCTTCGCATGGCCGCCCCGCTGAAGAGGAGCGGGAGCCATCTTGAGCAGAGGCTGGAGCGCAGCGCAGGGCCAAGCACCGGCCCATGGCCGCTCTCCATGCACGTGCCAGCGTGTGCTGGCTGAGGGTCCCCGGCTGGGACAGTGGGGAGGGTTTTGCTGGGGGGTTCTCTTTATTTTATTTTTGCCCATTGCTAAGCCCCGCTGCGCTGCGGGGCCTGGTGTTTCTCATGCATGTGGCAGGAGCTGTTGACAAACACCTGTTTCTGGGCCCCCTCCCCAGGAATGCCCCGGGGGCCCTGCGGGGGCTGCAGGGGTGGGCAGCAGGGATGTCCCCTCCCAGGGGAGCCCTCCCCCAGGATTCTCCTGCCCAGCAGCTGCTGCAGGGGGATTTGAGCCTCCCTGTTCCTCTGTGAGGTGTGGCTGTTGCACAAATCCATCCCTGTCCCAGGGAAGGGACACTGCTGTCCCCATGTCCCCTGAGCCCAGTGCTGTGTCTCTCAGGTGCTCAGTGCCTGCCCAGCAAGGGCTGGGGCGCAGGGGGACCCC